GAGTGTACACAGGGCTTACTGGCATTCAAATTCAAAATTATAAAAAACACTATGCAAGTTAAACAAAACTCTTCTGCAAATTAAATTTAACTGGCAATTCATTTCTTTGCTATCTTTCCCAATTCCGGTGTTTCTCAAGTTGTTTAAAATTTTTGTCTTCCACTAATAGATAACAAATAAAGACTCCTTCTTTAAAGTTATTTGAAATTTCAAAATACATCAAATATTGAGACTAAAACCAAATCACAGCTATTATATCACTGAAAATGTTTTTCTAAACTACAATGGTTCACTACCCTTCCCTGGCCCATTAGGAAATATTACCCTGAAACTACACCATCTCTAAAATTTAAAAACTAATTGTCTCTTTTTTTTTTTTTTTTTTGAGACGGAGTCTCGCTCTGTCACTTAGGCTATTCTAGTTTGCGGTGGTGCAATCACAGCTTACTGCAGCTAGAATACGGTGGTGCAATCACAGCTTACTGTAGCCTCAACCTCCTGGGCACAGGCAATCCTCCCACCTCAGCCTCCTGCATAGCTGGGACCACAGGTGCAAGCCAACTCATCTGGCTATTTTTGTAAAGACAAGGTCTAGCCATGTGGCCCAGGATGGTCTGGAATTCCTGGACTCAAGTGATTCACCAGCCTCGGCCTCCCAAAATGCTAGGATTATAGGTGTGAGCCACCGTGTCCAGCCATCTCACTTTCTTATTGCTAATATATTGGCTCTTCAAATTCTGAGAAACCTTGCTATTTCTCTTTTTACTAATTTTTTTTCTTTTGAGACAGAATCTCACTCTGTCGCCCATGCTTTAGTGCAATGGCGCAATCTCAGCTCACTGTGACCTCCACCTCCCAGGTTCAAGTGATTCTCCTGCCTCAGCCTCCCGGGTAGCTGGGACTACAGATGCATACCACCACACCCAGCTAATTTTTGTACTTTTAGTAGAGACGAGGTTTCACCAAGTTGGCCAGGCTGGTCTCGAACTCTTGACCTCAGGTGATCGGCCTGCCTCAGCCTCCCAAAGTGCTGGGATTACAGGCGTGAACCACCATGCCCGGTCTCTTTTTACTAATTTTGTTAACCTCCTTTACTTCTGCAGTTCTACTTAGCAATTCTCAGAAATCACTTAAGTCAGGGGTCCTTGCCATTTCGTACAAATGTTTTCTCAAAGATCATTAACAAACTCTCTCAAACTCTACTGTTAATGTTCCAATCATTTGCAGTTTCCAAATAAACAAATCACATGCTGTACTTTCTGCCTAAAGTACCTTTCAATTTTTAACTCTTACTCATACTAAAAGATCCATGTCAAGTCATAGCTCCCCTAAAAGCCTTCAAACAAGTTTGTCCCCCAACCTCAAACCAAGCCAGGTAAAGTGTTTTCTCTAGCTTCAACCTCTAAGCCCCCGCTGCTTCAACTACACACTTATTTAACAAGCATATAATTTGGAAAATATTTACACTTAATACTAATAAAGGATTTTAAAACTGGAAAAAGCCTTAAAGATAATTTCTGCTTGTCATTTTATAAACTAGTCATTTTAAAACTAAAAAGTTAAGTCATGTAGCCATAGCTATCAACCAGATCTTATCAAAGAGAAACATAAATCCCTTTGTAAAATAGACTTGAAAACAGAAAAAATGTCCAGGTAAACCCCTGCAAATAAACATCAGATTGATTCCCAGGAGACTTTCCCAAATTAGAGATTTGTCACTATCTCAAATCTATCAAATATTTGTTCTTCAACAATAGGGATATATTCTGAGAAATGTGTTGTTAGACAACTTCATCATCTTGCCAACATCATTAACTGAATTTACACAAACTTAGTTGACATAGCCTATTAAATACCTAGGCTATATGGTATAGCCTACTGCTCCTAGGTTACAAAACTGTATAGCATGTTACTGTGCTAAATACTGTAGGTAACTGTAACACAATAGTAAGTATTTGTGTATCTAAATATAGAAAAGTCAGGAAAAATACAGCATAAAATATTAAAAAATGGTACACCTGTACAGGGCATTTACCATCAATGAGCTTGCAGAATTAGAAGTTGTCCTGGGTGAGGTTGTGAGTGAGTGGTAAGTGAATGTGAAGGCCTAGAACATTACTGTACTACTACAGGCTTTATAAAAAGTATACACTTAGGCTACCCTAAATTTATATTTTTAAAGTTTCTTTCTTTAACACTAAATTAACCCTAGCTCACTGTAACTTTTTTATTTTGTAAACCTTAAATTTTAACGTTTTTACCATTTTGTAGCAACAGCTTAAAATACAAACACATACAGCTGTACAAAATATTGTTTCTTCATATCTTTATTCTATAAGTTTTTTACTATTGTTAATTTTTAAATATTATACTTTTAAGTTCTGGGATACATGTACGGAATGTGCAGGTTTATTACATAGGTATGCACGTGCCATGGTGGTTTGCTGCACCCATCAATCTGTCATCTACATTAGGTATTTCTCCTAACGCTATCCCTCCCCTAGCCTCTGCCCCCAAACGGGCCCCGGTGTATAATGTTCCCCTCCCTGTGTCTGTGTATTTTCATTGTTCAACTCCCACTTATGAGTGAGAACATACAGTGTTTGGTTTTCCATTTCTGTGTTAGTTTGCTGAGAATGAGTGTTTCCAGTTTCATCCATGTCCCTGCAAAGGACATGAACTCATCCTTTTTTTATGGCTGCATAGTATTCCATGGTGCATATGTGCCACATTTTCTTTATCCAGTCTATCACTGGTGGGCATTTGGGTTGGTTCCTAGTCTTTGCTATTGTGAATAGTCCTGCAATAAACATACGTGTGCATGTGTCTTTATAGAAGAACGATTTATAATCCTTTGGTATATACCCAGTAATTGGATTGCTGGGTATTTCTGGTTCTAAATCCTTGAGGAATCACCACACTGTCTTCCACAATGGTTGAACTAATTTGCATTCCCACCAACAGTGTAAAAGCATTTCTATTTCTCCACATCCTCTCCAGAATCTGCTGTTTCCTGACTTTTTAGTGATCACCACTCTAACTGGCATGAGATGGTATCTCACTGTGGTTTTGATTTGGATTTCTCTAATGACCAGTGATTATGAGCTTTTTTTCATGTTTGTTGGCCACATAAATGTCTTCTTTTAAGAACTGTCTGTTCATATGCTTCACCCACTTTTTGATGGGGTTGTTTTTTTCTTGTAAATTTGTTTAAGTTCCTTGTAGATTCTGGATATTAGCCCTTTGTCAGATGGATAGATCGCAAAAATTTTCTTGCATTCTGTAGGTTGCCTGTTCACTCTGATGATAGCTTCTTTTGCTGTGTGGAAATGCTTTAGTTTAATTAGATTCCATTTGTCAATTTCTGCTTTTGTTGCCATTGCTTTTGGTGTTTTAGTCATGCAGTCTTTGCCTATGCCTATGTCCTGAATGGTATTGCCTAGGTTTTCTTCTAGGGTTTTCATGGTTTTAGGTCTTACGTTTAAGTCTTTAATCCATCTTGAGTTAATTTTTGTATAAGGTGTAAGAAAGGGGTCCAGTTTCAGTTTTCTGCATATGGTTAGCCAGTTTTCCCAACATATTTATTAAATAGGAATCCTTTCCCCATTGCTTGCTTTTGTCAGGTTTGTCAAAGATCAGATGGTTGTAGATGTGTGGCATTATTTCTGAGGCCTCTGTTCTGTTCCATTGGTCTATATATCTGTTTTGGTAACATTACCATGCTGTTTAGGTTACTGTAGCCTTGTAGTATAGTTTGAGGTCAGGTAGCGTGATGCCTCCAGCTTTGTCCTTTGTAAAATTTTTTATTAACTTTTTTCTTTTTAGACTATTAAAAATTAAGACACAAACATACATATTAGCTTAGGCCTAGCATCATCAATATCGCTGTCTTCCACTTCCATATTCTGTCCCACTGGAACGTCTTCAGGGGTAATAACATGTATGGAGCTGTCATCTATGAAAACAATGCCTTTTTTTGGAATACTTCCTGAAGGACCTGCCTGAGGCTGTTTTAGTTAACTATTTTTTATAAGTAGAAGGAATACACACTAACATAATGATAAAAATATATTATAGTAAATATATAAACCAGTAACATAGTCATTTATTATCATTATCAAGTATGATATACTGTACAAAATTGTATGTGCTCTACTTTTTTTAAATGACTGGCAGTGCAGTAGGGTTTGTTTACACCAGAATCATGACAAACATGTGAGTAATGCGTTGCACTATGATGTGACCACAGCAATGACATCAGTAGGTAATAAGAATTTTTCAGCTCCATTTTAATCTTACAGGACCAATGTCATATATGTGAACTGTTTTTGAACCAAAATGTCATTATGTAGCACATGACTATATGTATAAATGTTTCTGCTGAAAATCGGATTCTCAAATCTAGCCCAGCACCATGTATCTTATACAGAATGCCCATGTGAGATCTTGCTCAACCTATGACAGAGTATTTTCTTGGTCAATCAATTCTGAGTTGTTCTTAACATTTTTAACTGGGGAAACAGGAAGAGATGATCAATAAGAAAGAGAAAAAGACTTGAACATTGTGTGAGAGGTGAAGATAGAGGCATAAAAAGTCAATATTTAGTTAGACAGAAAATAGTTTTGATTTCTTTACAAATGAGATAGGAGGTGGTATCTCTACTTCTTCCATGACTTGGAACATCTCTTGGATTAATAAACTCTGCCTCTAAAAAGCAAATAGTGCCCCTGCCAGCAGTTATGAGATAACTTCATTCATAATTTGAAGGATTTTTGCAATTATTCAGCATTTGGTGAACATTTGCAGAATGCATTATATAAAGCAAAGGAGCTACAAGTTTGGCTTTTATAAGTCATCCCAGCATAACATTTCTTAAAAGCTGCACAGAAAGAATACCAATTTTAAAAACCAACATTGTTGATATATACTATATCACACATCAACATTGTTGATATATACTATATCACACATCTATTTATCAAAAGTTTAATGTTCTAACCTGGAATGTCGGAGGCTGTCCTTTTTGTTTTTTGCAGAACACAATGTGCATTCACAGCCAACTGCATGGGGCTTGGGTAGAGATACATCCTGTTTTAAGAGCATTGTAAGAATTTCATAGTTGTTACGATGAGCAGCTAAAATGACAGGCGCAACATCCATAGTCGTTGAATACTCAGGATTCTGAATTCGTTCCATTAGTTTCTGAAAAATATTTATATAAATGTCCAAAGTTATCATTTGTGACTTCAAAAAATATATTTATCTGAAGAATGAAATGAAAAAACAGGAAGGCACAAAGAACTTAAGAATTATTTAAGGAATATGTTAAACATCTTGCTTGGATTAAATTTTTCTTTGAAACCTCAAAACTTTAATAAATGCAATGTAATTGTAACAGACAAAATCTTCAATAGGTAACATTCATATAACTAGAGATCTGTTTTTTTCCAACAAAGAAGTGAGAATATCTACAGAAATATCTTAGGGAAAAGTGTTTAATTTTCACAAGATTATAGAACCATGTCTGACAAAAATAAAGAACAAGAATGTTAGAAAAATATATTAGAAAAACAAAAATGCTTAAAAAATAGGGAGAATATTAACATGGTCGAAAAACTATAAGAATTTCACCTCTATGGCAAACCTTATCACATTGACAGCAATGCAGCTACTTGAAAAGGGTAATAGGAAGCACTCTTCATTTTGTATAATTTTCTACACATTTTCAATCATTACATATACTACTTCCTACTATAAATGCCAAGAAATTAACAATAATGCTAATATTTAATGAGTTCTGGAACTGTTAGGCACTTTACATTTATCATCTCATTTAATTGCCGCAGTAGCCTGCAAAACCTAGCATTAAAATCCCCATGAAGAAACTGAGGCTCAGAGAAGTTAATGTGCCTGAGCCACAAACAGGGTGGCTGGGTGCTGATCAGAATCCAGGTTTGTATTACTCTGGAGCTGGAGCTCCTTCCACTACAGGAGCCCATGGGTGTGGTAAGAGCATGAAATGAGGAAAGTAACATTAGTAATTCAAGAACCAGGCTTAAATAAAAAGGTTGACTATTTTATAACTATCATATTTTCTTTCTAATACTTCTTTTTTGTAATATTGTAAAAGTAGTATATATACTTATTATAAAATAGCTGAAAATACAGAAAATCAGAAAAAAAATTTTAAATACCCACATTCCTACTACACAAAGAACATGTTCCAGCATAGTATTTCATTCTAATCCTTTTTCTACTATACCCCCCGCCCCCCGACTTTTAAGGACATCTTTGGCATAAACAGTAGGTATTCTAAGGACCAATGATTAAACAGTGGTCCTCAATGTCTCCAAGATCAGGGACCCTTTTAATAATCCATAAAGCAGGATCTTTACATAACCCAGAATCTTCAGAAAAAAATAATTCATGCACAGAATTTTGTATGCAATTTGAGGAAGTTCATAGATTCTGTGTTCAAGTATTTTATTTTGCTAATTTACCATAAACATCTTTATGAAAAGAGCGTTTTCCAAATTTAGGATTATCTCATCAACATAAAAGCCCAGAAGTGGAATTATGGGTCTAAAGGCCATGAACAGTTTTGAAGCTCTTGAAACATATTGTTAAAGTCCTTTTAATAGTTTATATTACCAATAATATACGAAGGTACCCATTTCAAACTAAAGTTTCACTTGCCAGCCTTAGGCATGATCACTCCCAATTTATAGTGAAAAATACTATCATGAAATTGTAATTTAATTTCCTTTGATCACTGGTAAGTTCTAATATTTTCTGATATACTTATCTGATTTTCCTCCTCTTTTATGACTAATTTGTTTATATGCTTCTTATTTATTTATTGAAGACTTCAAATTAATGACTTTATTTTAAAATTACAGAGAAACCTAAAACTAGTCCTTTTCCATCTTATCATTGCATTACAAGTTATAAAGAAGAAAAAAATATGTATTTAATCCCTTAAGAGAAAAGTGGTCCTCATGTTTCCTATGAAACATACTTAACTGTATGAAAAACACCACTAGATATGCATAAGATTAAAGTTCATAATTCTATTGTTCATAATATAATCTGTATACTATTAAATAAAAAACCTAAATTTGAAAGTAAATTGCCAAAAAGACAATCTGGCAAGCCAAGAATAGAGAATGAATTCCTTGAAATGCTAAAAGAATATTACCATTATTGAAATGCTAAAGGAAACAATATTTTTGTTCTGCTTATAGCCAGTTTATATTCCCAGCAGTTATTTAAAATATATAAAAATATTGAATATTGCCTCTCTAGAAGTAAAAGGGCTATCAAGATATGACCTTGGCTGGGCCTGTAATCCCAGCACTTTGGGAGGCCGAGAACGGTATATCACCTGAGGTCAGGAGTTCCAGACCAGCCTGGCCAACATGGTGAAACCCCGTCTCTACTAAAAATACAAAATTAGCTGGGCATGGTGGCACGCACCTGTAATCCTAGCTACTGGGGAGGCTGAAGCAGGAGAATCACTTGAACCTGGGAGGTGGAGGTTGCAGTGTTCTGAGCTCATGCCATTGCACTGCAGCCTGGGCAACAAAACAAGAGTGAAACTACATCTCAAAAAAAAAAAAAAAAAAAAAAAAGAAGATATGATCTTGCTGTCATTGAGTGTATTTAAATAAAAGCTGAATAGAGTAGAGACAGAGTAGAAAGTGTTTTTTTGTTTTTTGGTTTTTTTTTGAGACAGAGTTTTGCTCTGTCACCCAGGCTGGAGTGCAGTGGCTTGATCTCAGCTCACTGCAACCTCCACTTCCCAGGCTCAAGCAATTCTCCTGCCTCAGCCTCCCAAGTAACTGGGATGACAGGTGCACAGCACCACGCCTGGCTAATTTTTCTATTTTTAGGAGAGACGGGGTTTCTCCATATTGGTCAGGCTGGTCTCAAACTCCCGACCTCAGATGTTCCATCCATCTGAGCCTCCCAAAGTTTCTTTTACTAAGTTGAGGGCTGCCAACACTAAGATTTAATCAGTAGTGATAATGGTGATTAATAAAACCAGTTAATGGTTCCAGTACTCAAGCACACTACACCCTACCCTTCCCCCGCAGGAAAGGAAATGGACTAAAAGGCTAGAAGATGGGACAGGTGTACCAAAATATAATAGTAACTGCAAGATAAATGGCAGAAAATTGAATGGTATTTTAGATATTTCTGATCCTTTGGATAGGGACTATATTCTTAGCCCTTTGTTCCTTATTCCTGTTGGTTTCTTACCATCGCTTAAACTAGATGGTACTATCCTCCGGAGAAAGTCACACTTTTTTAACAGTCTGAATGAGAGTAAGATTTTTCAGTTAATATATAAAATAAAGTATGCAATTTAGCAGAGCCTCTCACAGTTCTCAAACATGGCAGAGAGTCAACAACCAATTTATAATTCTTTCTTAAAACAGTATTTTTATTCTGCTTATAGCCAGCCTATATACCCAGCAGTTATTTAAACTGCTTGTTTCACTATATCGTCACCAATAATGAATGTTATCATGTTTAAAATTTGATAAAAAACAATAAAATTAGCATTTATGTAGTAGTGACTATCCTCCTAACTACAAAAGCAATAAAGAAAAATAAAAAGAGTACAAAAAAATCTGTAATTTGATTATTCAATGAGAGATGATGATTGTTAGGTAACATTTTGTTGCATTTCCACACAGTCCCTTTTCTATGCATATTTTTAACCTTGGATCAAATTATATGTACAATCTATTTAATTTTTCTTATTCCACTTACTATGTTATATTTTTCCATGTTCCTAACTATTCTTTTAAAAATACTGTTTTAATGACGGCATAATATTCCATCGTACATATATGTAATCATTTATATTTCCTATCTTCTATTTCGGAATGTTTAGATTATGTTACATGGGCTTTTAAAAATTACTACAAATAAGATCACAACCAACATTTTTGTCCACATTTCTGCCCATTTCCTTGATAGGTTCCCAGAGGAGAAAGCACTAAGTTAAAGCATATGAACATCTTTCTTATGACAGTTCCTGCCAAAACATTTTCCAAAATACCTGCCTCACTAGTTGCATATGAGACTGTAATACTCCCTTGCTATCAATGATTTTTTTTTAATTTTCAACTTTAATAAGTAAACTTGGTAAGTTTAAAATTAGTATCTTACTGTATTTGATTATCATTAAGATTTAACATTTTGTATTTTCTGTGATTTTTACGTCCTTTTCTAATATATTTTTCACCAATTTGTCCAATATTAAGATTATTAATTTATGATATATGCTGCAAATATCTTTTGCCAGTTATTCATCTGCTTTCTAAATTTTGTCTGACATTTGGATTCCAAAAACTTAACTTTTTTAATAGCAAAAACTGTGCCACTGTGATTTCTGTCCATTGCTTTTATGCACATAAAGTCTTTCCATTCCCAATCAGTTAAATATTCACCTACATTTTCTTCCAGTTTGTTGGTTTCATTGTTTACATTTAATTCTTATCTATCTGCAACCTAATCTATATTTTCAACATTACCTGCAGAATATTTCAAACAATAAATACTGGTCCACAGTGACAAAATTATGGAAATATCAACTAAATTAAAAAAGCTTTCCTGAAAGAAATACTAATTATTCCTGCAAGTGTCTACTTACTTTAAAGTAATATTTTACAGAGTGAGAAAAAAGATCTATTTTTTGAAAAAAAGAAAATCAATTTGAGGGAAGGAAAAAATGGCAATGGGGCAGGAGATCTATTCTGGTTTAAAAATCCAAATTAATAAATATTTAAAAGTACTAACTACTATAGTTGGTCTTGATGATCGTTTTGGTCGATGATTAAGTAGTATATCAACAGCTCCCACTACTTCAGAGTCGATTGCCACCAAAAGTGCATCTGCAGACTTTAAAAAAAAAAAAAGTTAAAAATGAAAATGGAAGATAAAAAGGTAAACTACTTCTTTTCACTAATCCATAAATAAAACTTTTTAAAAATTTTAAACTGTATTATATACAGCAATACTAACTTTTCAAAAATGTTGACTGTACAAATAGTAGTACATTTGCTTGCCTTAGGAGTACTTCTGTGTACCACAATACACACGTTTCTGTCCTGGTTTCAATGCATGAGTTGGTAAAATAATGAATGTTTCACTAAAGGGATTATTAGTGTAACAGTGCTGATTCATGCAGCATTTAAAGTTGAAAAATTTTTTTTCAAGATCTTTACTCTTGAGCTGTGGACCAAAAGAATCTTAACAATCCAAATCTATAAAAGAAACTGTCAAGAACTATTACTACACATAAAGGATTGTTTTGAGTCTAATGAAAACGATCATCATCAATGCAAACAGGAATATGGGGAGAATATCTAAAGGGAAGAGCCTTCTGTTCCCATTTTTAAAACACATAGCTGACTAAAATGCTACAAATTTGACATTTATGAGCAATTTTATCAAGTATAATCCACAAATAGGCGACCAAAGCTCATAGAGACAGGAGGGAGAAGTGACTTTATCATTCTACTCCCAATCTATAACTCACTGTGAAGATCCGACTTTAACAAGAGGAAAAAGTAAGGAGACTCTGAGGAAATGGGGACTTTTCAACTCTGTAACAAAGCCTATAGTCCTATTGGTAACTATAACATCAGGTTTTTTGATTTTTAGGGAAAACTATAAAGGAAGAAGGAAAACATAGGGATAATGATTCAATATAAGAAAATGCCCTGATTATTTTCAATCTGTACATTTTAACTGCTATAATATTTAATAACTATTTAAATCAATGTTCTTGCTCTTGGGAACAAAACTATATCAGATCTTTACTATTCTTTGCAGCTGAAAAGAGTAAAGTTTATATCCACTTTATCTGGATGTAAAAAATAGGACTAAAAGTAGCAGACTTTACTTGAATATCTAAAAATAGGACTATGTATCTCAAAAAAAAAAGGGTTGGAGTCCTCATAGGAATCACCTATGTTTTCCCACAGAAAAACTCCCCACCCAGATGGGAAATTTAACCCATTGTACTATCCCTTAAAACTTTCAGGGTTCATTGAGCTGTGGCCTATGCTTTAAAGTCCTAGCATTATTATTTGGCTTTGCAAACATTTCTCTTCAGATTTTAGCATATTTAGTCAGTTGAAGGAAATGAACAAAAAGAATGCTATATCCATTACTACTAAATATTTCATTTATGATTTTTAATTTTTTTTTTTTTTTTTTGATACGGAGTCTTGCTGTCGCCCAGGCTGGAGTGCAGTGGCGCAATCTTGGCTCACTGCAACCTCCGCCTCCCAGGTTCAAGGGATTCTCCTGCCTCAGCCTCCTGAGTACCTGGGACTACGGGTGCACGCCACCACATCCGGCTAATTTTTGTATTTTTAGTAGAGACAGGGTTTCACCATGTTGGCTGGGCTGGTCTCTAACTCCCAACCTCAAGAGATCCACCCACCTCAGCCTCCCAAAGTGCTGGGATTACAGGCATGAGCCACTGCGCCTGGCATATGATTTTTAATTTTAACCAATAAAGCTAACTATAGTAATGCCATCGCTTGCAAAGTCAAACACCAGGCAACTTCAACAATCTGAAAAATAGCCATGGATTTAAAAACAGCAACATATTGAGCTGTCACAAACAAACTCCATGGGTATTATTTCCCAAAAGAAACAGACCCAATCATTCTGATTTAAAATTGTCCATAAATGATGAATATCTGGCTTTCCCAAGTATCCTTTGGATCATTACTGAATAAAAGAATAGCTAGATTAAAACCAACAGCGTAGAGGGAAAGGAAGAAAGAATTACTAAAAGTTGACTACTGAAAAGATTAAATACCAGTACAGCAAAATCACTATCCATGCACAGCAGTCTAAAGCCACTTAATGTAAGGACAGACATGTTAATAGTTTCAGACCATATGAAGCAAAGTAAAATAATTACATTCTCTATTATTCCAACTAAGGATGGTAAAGTTAAATTATATTCAGATACATTAGTTAGTAAAGAATAAAGATTTACATTAAATCTTTCAATGCTTAAAAGGATAAGCTTCAGCTATAAAAATATTCATTTACATTAAACTGTCTTGTAAATAAGGAGTTACCATTGACTTATTCTGCACAAATGGTATGTTATTTGATAAATCAATGGCAGTTATGAGGGAAACAAATGTTTTAAATTATTTTAAAAATACACAGTTATACAAAAAATCCTCACTAGTTTTGCTTTCCAATTTCTCAGATATTGGACAATTCTTTATTAAAAACTTTTTAATACATATACTTATTACATATTTATGAGATCATTATCTTCCTTCCTACCTTAGAATTTGTCTTTTCAACAATTCCCATACTCTTTCCTTTAAGCTCAGAGTAAAAAAGTTACTTATTTTCTTTCCAAAGCTACATTTTCCACCTTAGTCTTCTATTTGATGCTCTCCAATCTTTAGAACCCTGGTCCTTCATTTGCAGAAATACCAGTCTCATCTCCCACCTCCCAGAACTTTAAATCCTTCCTCATTCTTTGCTAACTTGCTTACTAGCTCTTTGCTAACTTAACTCCATCTTTCTCTTACCACTCAAGTTTTCTTCTTCCTTTCACTGTGTCAAACTTTGCAAATCAAAGTGTATCATTTCTCCAATTCTACTGATTCCATAGTTTCAAAATCCAATTACTTTTTCTACCTTCTAATTTTTCTTAAACTCTAAGAAAATGTTAAAAACTATTCTTTTGGCTTTCACAATGCTCTACTATCCTAACTGCCTCTGATATCTTCAACAATTCATTTGGTCTTTAATGAAACACTTTCCATGTAATGCTCTTTATTAAATGTAGATATTTCCTTAAGAATGAATCTGCACCAGCCCTTTGCTCTTCTCCATGATTTCATCTGCTCTCACAATGATGATGGGCATTCCCATGGCCATGACTGTTTACTGTATCTCTTTAGCCTGATCTCTCCCTAGAAATCCCTAGAAATAAAATGTTCATCTGTGTTTGTCTGATGAGGACTGCCTGATATCCACCAAATCAACAAGGATAAAACCGGAATTCACATTCCTTGCCCCGAGCTTTACTTAGCTTCTGAACTTAATGTTTTCCTTTCTTCCTTCTCCTAGTCACCCATGTTTAAGTTTTCCAAATCATCCTGGACTCCTTCTCAATTTCCCCCTCCAAATCAAAATATTCACTAAGATTTGTCAATTCCTCACAGCAGTCTCCAACCTTTTTGGCACCAGGGACTGGCTTCATAGAGCAGGTAGGGAGATGGTTTCAGATGGAACTGTTCCACCTCAGATCAGGCATTGGTTAGATTCTCATAAGGAGCATGCAACCTAGATCCCTTGCATTTGCAGTTCACAATAGGGTTCGTACTCCTATGAGGATCTAATACCATCGCTGACTTGACAGGAGGCAGAGCTCAGGCGGTAATGATCGCTCACCTACTGCTTACCTCCTGCTGTGCAGCCCAGTTCCTAACAGGCCACAGAACCATATAGGCCATGGACCCATATCTGCCTTTTCCCCCCTCTTCTTATAGCCACTGTTTTTCTTACAGCACTTTTCTGGTTCAAGCCTTAACCTCTTCATATATAGATTACTACAAAAACTGTTCACATAGGCTATAGCCTTTCCCACTTTCCATTTCCCAATCTATACTAAATTCAGCCACTAGATTAATCTTTCTAAAATACCACTGGACACATGACATCTTTCTCGAAAATCACGTAATGATATCCCCTATCTATTATATAAAACCCAAATTCCTTATTCTGGTATCCAAGGCTCTTTGTATCCATTTTGTTTTAATTATTTTTCCTAATTCCCACTACTCCCCAACCCAACTGTTTTGTTCAAAAACGCTAAATCAATTCACTGTCTCAAAAATATACATTGCACATGCCTTTGTTTATATCCTTCTCCACATCCCCTGTTCCCCACCTGTCTTTACATGTTCGAGAGTAGATTAGCATAATAGGTAAGAACATGGATTCTGGAGCCAGAGCCTAAGTTCAAATTCCAGGTAGCCATTTACAGTGTGACTTTAGGCAAGTTACTTAATCTTTTTTACCTCAGTTTCTTCCTCTATAAAATAGGGATAATAATAATATCTAGGTCAGGCGCGGTGGCTCACACCTGTAATCTCAGCACTTTGGGAAGCCGAGCAGGTGGATCACCTGAGGTCAGGAGTTCCAGACCAGCCTGACCAACATGAAGAAACCCCGTCTCCACTAAAAATACAAAATTAGCCGGGCGTGGTGGTGCATGTCTATAATCCCAGCTACTCGGGAGGCTGAGGCAGGAGAATTGCTTGAATCCAGGAGGCAGAGGTTGCAGTGAGCTGAGATCACGCCATTGCACTCCAGCCTGGGCAACGAGAGTGAAACTCCATCTCAAAAAATAATAATAATAAAATAATATCTAACTCATCCCTATGTTGTGAGGATTAAGTAAGTGAACATATTTAAGGTTCCTGGCAGAGAGTAGTATTATATAAATGTTAGCAATTATTAATATTTCAAGGCTGAGTCAACTGATACTTTCCCAATGAAATCTTTCTTGATAGCCCCAACCTATTCTATATTTCTAAATAATGTATATTAAACCATAAAAGTTTAAACATAAAATAGGGTTTCTTAATAGCAGCACTACTGAAATTTTGGGCCAAATAATTTTTTGTTGTGGAGACTGTCTTGGTTATTGTAGGATGTTCAGCAATATTCCTAGCCTCTACCTACTAGATAACAGTAGTAACCTGCCCTCCAATTGTGAAACCAAAGTATCTTCAGACATTGCCAAACGTCCCCTTATGGTGACAAAATCATTTGGTTGAGAACCACCAATATAACACAAGATACGTGAAAGCTCTTGTAAATGCAAAGCAATATAAAATGGTCAAGTACTATTAGCATTCAACACTTACCAAATACACCTTTGTATTACTTGACTTGTAATTCATACATACTTTAACTGTCCAATTTGTCTTAAAGATCCTATCATGCAGAACCCATGTTTTACTTATTCATTTCTACAATCACACCCAACCAAAGGCCTTGGACATTTGTGGATTGATAAGACACAGGTAACCTGGACAGAACACAGTGAACTAGAAAGAGCGTGGGATTTGCAATTAGAAGATTAAATTCAAATCGTAGTCTTGTCCTTACTAATTTTAGAACTTTGGGAAATTCATTAAAGTCTATGAGCCTCAGTTTTCTAATCTATAAAATGTAACATCTATATAGGTTGACTGTGATGTCCGAATGTGATCAAGTATATGAAAGCACCAGGTATAATGCAAAACTATTACATGTATATAACCATGTGTAAAAAGACAAAATTATAATACCACAGTACTTCTTTTATCCAGAATCAGTGTGTGAATTTTTTTCTACCCTTATTTTCTAGGTAACTGAAGCTTATGCCTTTAAGTGTTTAATTTTAAAATTTAAACTATCTTGATGGAAGTCTTCTGCTTTCGTGTCTTGTAGATACACAAACACACATATATATATAGTCTTTCTTCTAAAACAATAGGTACTGAATATAATTTAACTCTTCCTTATTGACTCTGGGCCATTGTTATAAGCCTTAATTATCATCCTAACCTACAGCTCCCTCAGAGAATATCAGATATGTAATGCTGTTGACCTCTGTTAAATAGTGTCAGAGGTACCACGCTTCATTTTGTTCCACTGCAGCTTTCATGCCCCTTCCATTGTCCCTCAGATTCTCTATGGATTAGAAATTAATCATGTTAAAATGGAACATAAAATGAGAAAAAATAGACTCTGATGGAGGACTCCTATAACTAAAGTTCATAAATTTAACTTGTAAACTTCATGGCAGCAAACCACTGGCTGCTCAGAGGTTATTTTTTACTTACTTTCTGCTTCTCAATTGTGGTCTGGATAGCTGAAGTTGCTGGGTAAGCAATTCTTTTTTTTACTCCAAACATATACATGGAGACAGTACCACATGTTGCTTTATATATATATATATTTTTTATATATATATATAATAGCAATGTACATAGAATTACCCTACTTATAATCAGAAAATCTGCTGCAAATGTCTCCAGATGACACTGAAAAAAAAGTGCCTCATTAAAAAAAAAAAAAAGAGGTAGAATTAATGTGCCAAGTCCCATCATAAGTAAATCAAAAAGGAAAGGAAAATAATATTATCAAATTTTCTTCAGAATCTCTAGACTGAATTTTCAAGACTTACACACATGCCTTTTTTCTACCCAAAACTGATATGAAGATAAGTAGGAAGGTCTATATTTTATAGATGAATAAAAATCATTCATCTTTAGATAAAAATAAACATTAAGTTTCAAACAAAAAAATAAAATTTAATAAAACTTAGGAGAAAACTAAAGTCAAACTGAAAACTTTTGAGTCAGGAACATTTTGTTGATGTGTCTGTAACTAATAGGGGTCAGAAAAAAAACTATTCCTCTGACACTTGCAGAGTGTTTGTACTATTTTAGATATATAATATAAATATTGTTAACATAGGTAATGACAACCAAGTCATCTTTAATAAGTCATGATAATTTACCTCCATCAGACAGATGTGGGGAAAATGACACTTGGGAGGAAAAAGATAAATCAATTCAAAATATTATTATACTTTTCAAAAAGTTTTTTTGGTTTGTCTTTAAAACTTTTAGTGGTTCAAAACCAAATAAAAGATGAAAGAAAGAAAGAGAGATAAAGAAAAAGAAAGGAAGAAAAGGGGGAAAAAGAAGAAAGAAAACAAGAAGGGAAGAAAGCATGGCATATCTAACAGCACTTAGAAGTTAACTGGATTAAATTATCTAGCCTTGTACCTGACAACCGTAGTCCAAAAGAAGCTGCAGTATATCCAAGTTTTCGTTTTCAATAGTTATGGTAACAGCATTTCTCCCAAGCACATCTACGCAATTTATGTTCAAGTCACCTGAACTGTTTTCCTCCAAAATCTTTTTAACCATATAATAGTCACCTAAATAACAATATACAAACATAATTTAATATCCATGACATATCAAGGATGACTGTAAAGAAAACTTAGCTTGTTGAATTAAAAGATTAAAAGCCTAAACTCATTTTTGTATATGAAAATGTACACAGAAAATGTGAACATTTCCTTGATGAAAATTTATACCTTAATAAAATAATACGTGTATCAGCAGCAGACATAAAAAGTAGAAAAATTTTAAATGTACAGAATGAAATAAAAATCATTAGTTTAAAATTAATAACTGAATGATCATAAAAGGAGAAACTTTTGGAAGATATTTAAAGCAATTTAATAAAGGATGCCCAAAGGCACAGACTGGAAGCTAGAAAAATTAGACGGAAAAAGCTTAAAGAATTAAATTTTATATCTCAAATATACACAGACATTTACTTACACAACAGAGTTAAAAATGAGATCTAGTAATAATAAGTGGAGGATATTATAAAGAGGTTTTACAGGAATAAACATACTTTGGAAAAGCAATATACATACATATATATTCAAGGATATGTATAGTAAAGGGAAGGATGTCTGAAAATCCTCTTCCCTACTCCCCACTCTCCCAGCACACACACCACACACACACACACACACACACACACACACACCCCATCTCATTAATTAAGCTGATTAGATTAAATGACCAGGGAACATTCAGTTCACAAAATTCTTAAGGCAGGACTAGGATTAGTGCCTGACCTGTTAGGAGCAGGCAAATTGCCTTCTTTGTGACTGTAGCCCACAACAAAACAGTTGTCCCATGAGAGGAAATGACAACAATTACAGCAGTAATTATTTTCAGCAAGGCCCCACCGTATTTGTCTGCTGACCAGATGGTACAGGAATATGGGGAATAAATCAAAAGAGAAATGCTAATTAAATAGAGAAGAAAAAGCAAGGGGGATTTTGCTTGTTTTGTTTGACTTGTTAAACATTAGACAAATAAGCCATTTTAAGTGATGTGCAAATATAGTTGCTCCTTAGAAGTCTATAAACAGGGAAAGAACAATCAGCATAGAAAATAGAAAAAGAAATGATTTCATTATACAGAAAAAGAAAATACTGAAACTGGGCTAAATAAGTGAGTAAGAAAGACAGGTAACAGATTTTATTTGTTAAATTTTCAAATAAATTTGCTACTATTTTTAATCTATGGCCTTAAACTCCCTGCCTCACACATACAACTTCTTTTGAAGGAAGGTGGGTGATAGTTTTCTTGACAACGTATTTCCTAAGGTCCCTCAAGAAGAAAACTAGTCACAAAAAGAAATATTTTCCCCATAGTACTAGTAGTTAATAGTTAGACACAAATGCTCCCTGGGAGAACCTTATCAGACACTTCACAAAGTGATGTTCTAAGTCACAAGTTGAATCAATAGTGACCAAAGATAGACCAGTGAAAATTTATCGCTATTACTGGAAAGTGACATTTAAAACCCTATTTCAGGTGAATCTATTTCAACATCTTAGTAGTAGAATGCTACACATAAAAATTCTGCTATATTTTCTTTGTTACTATGATGTGTCTAGGTGAGCAGTAATTTATTTATTTATCCTGCTTAGGACTCATTAGGCTTTCTAAATTTGTTTTTATTCTTTTCTAATTTTTATTTTTTATAGAGATGAGGTCTCGCTATGTTGCCCAGGTTTGTCTCAAATTCCTGGCCTCAAGCAATCCTCTCGCCTCGGCCTCCAAAAGTGCTGGGATTATAGGCGTGAGTCACCACATCGGGCCTAGGCTTTCTAAATCTAAGGATTTCTACCCTTCATTAATTCTTCAGTATTTTCAGCCATTATCTCTTCAAATATTGCTTCATCTCCATATTACTTTTTCTCCTGTCAACTTCTGTTAGGCATTAAGTTAGACCTTCCCATTTCAACATCTGTGTCTCTCAAGATTTCCTGTTTTTCCTTTTTTTCCTCTCTCTTTCCTGCATTCTGGGTAATTTTTTCACACATTTCTTCCAGTCACTTATTTCTTCTGCAGCTTCCAGTCACATTCCTCCTTTAATCCATTCACTCACTTCTTAAAAATTTAATGACTGTATTTTTTATTTGTATAAGTTTTACCAGATTTCTTTCCAACTCTTTTATTTTCTTATGTTTTCATTTCCTTATTTTAACTTTTTCATCATTTTAAACGTAATTATTTTATGGTCTCTGTATGATAGTTTAATTATCTGAAAGGAGTATTAATTTGAACCCCAAGACAACAAGAGGCAGGACCATGGTTATGTATTCTTAAAGGAGTCTTATTTTTACCCTTATTCAGAGCCCACAATAACACAAACAAGCTTCTTTGAAGTCTCCATGTGCTGGTAGATTGGTTTTTCTCCTCATCTACCTCTTTGCTGAAGGTACAGTCCTTTAAGGATCCTGGTTTTATGCTTAGATGTTGCATCCAACTCCTCACTTTGTACAGTCTCCAGGCCTTGTAACCTGTTCCCATATGGGCATTAAGACTCAAATCTGTGCAATGTCCGAAACAGTAACTCTTATCCCCACCCATGGAGCAGCCATAGTGTCAGCTCACAAACCCCTGGTTTTCTTCACTTTTGTATCTTGGTTGTTTCCCTTACTTTCTTGAAAGCTCGGCTGTTTATTTAACTAGATGTTCATTATATTTCAGCTATCATTTCTAAGTGATTTGAAGAAGAAAGGTTTTCAGATTATCTAATCAACCACATTGCTAGAGACAGAAAAGTAGGAAGAGCTACATAAATAAATCCTTATGACATTTAATAAATTTCAGGTATAGCAAATAGACAAAAATAATTGCTACATGTTTATAAAGTTTAGATTGTTGTTAAAAAGGAAAGCACATTACAAATATCACATATTCCAGCTTTAAAGGTTTTTTGTTTTGTTTTGTTTTTAAGACAGAGTCTTGCTCTGTCACCCAGGCTGGAGTACAGTGGCAAAATTCGGCTCACTGCAACCTCTGCCTCTTGGGTTCAAGCGATTCTCCTGCCTCAGCCTCCTAAGTAGCTGGGATTACAGGCGCCTGCCACCACGCCCGGCTAATTTTTGTATTTTTAGCAGAGATAGGGTTTCACCATGTTGGCTAGCCTGGTCTCGAACTCCTGACCTCAAGTGATCCGCCCACCTTGGCCTCCCAAGGTACTGAGATTACAGACACGAGTCACTGTGCCCAGTCCTAAAGTTTTAAAGAGTATTTCTATTGTAGTCAAGGAGCTATACAAGAAAGAAAGAAAATCCCTAAAAATCAAAACCAAATAAATACTTTTCATCCCTAAAAATAAAATGTTCCACCCTGCTACAGCTAACACAGTCATGCAAATGAAAAATGTTACAGTCACAGAACCTATAGGAAACCTAGAGTCGTTGCTAAGCATTTCAGAGAAGTTTGTATTTGCAATTCATTTAAAACAAGTACTATGTCCAAAAAAAAAAAAAAAAAAAGACCAGAAAAGACCAGAACAGTCTTAATTTTTAGGATGAGCATATATGTAAAAAGAGGTTAGAAAACTTAAAATAAACAGCAAGAAGTTATAGAACAAGAATTACAAATTCAAAATGCCTGTGTATGACAGACAAATATATAAATGCCATTCATTTTATACTGAAGTTGCTTTCAAGAGTTACATCTTTTGTCTTTTAAAATATAACACATAGAAGGAAGTGCAACATAATCTGTTTACTTTTTTGGCTAGATGGTAGTCTTTTTCAGTGAAGGAAAAAGAAACGATTTTCAGTCAATTCCACAGGGAGTATACCAATTCAACAGCACGTCTTCTTAGCTCCCTCTCCAAATTATCTCCCATAATCATCTACTTGTCTCCATGTATACTGCTACCCGCAGTCCAAACCCCCATGATCTTCCTCCTGGACTCTGCAATAGCCTCTTAACTAACACAGCTGCTGACCAAGATTCTCTCCTTGACCAAACTTTAGTCAGGCTTTTCTGAGCCCTTCACAAGGCCTCCACCTTGGCCCATGTAAACTTGAACAAAACACTAAGTGTTTCTAACAGCTGAAGGCCAGATCCCTAGGATGACCCTAGCCCCTCTTAAAATGCCTGCCTGAGAAAACTCAAAGCCGACATAAAAATTTACTTTTGTTCCAGCCAACACCTGAAGACAGGGCCCCTATCTCCCAGCCTCCAGGGAGAGTAGGAGCCTAACTCCTTAAGTGCCATTAACAAACTCAGATGGGTTTCACATGGACCAACTCCCCAAGCCCTGTATTTTGTAATTTTTCACTTCCCTGATTCCACTGAGCCCACACTCACCCCCTTCCTTGTTTACTCTTTTCCTTATTGCAACTTATATTACTTATTAATACTTTATACTGTAGCACAGGGTTCAACAAAGTTTTCTGAAAAACGGTTAGATAGTAAATAGTTTAGGCTTTGTGGGCCATGCACTCTTAGTCACAACTACTCAACTCTGCCCTTTCAACACAAAAGCAGCCACAGACCATATGTAAACAAATGATAGTGGATGTGTTCTAAGAAAATTCTGTTTATGGACACTGAAATTTGAATTTTACAGACTTTTCATGTGTTATGAAATATTATTTTTTTTAACCATTTGAAATATAAAATGTAAAAAACTAGTTTTAGCTCCAAGACCTCACAAAACAGGCAGATATGGTCTGTGGCCCATAGTTTGCTCACTCCTGCTCTAGCCCCACCCCTTCAATCCACTCTCCACTCCACAGCTAGAGTTATCAGTTAAAAATTCAAAACATAGGCCAGGCACAGTGGCTCATGCCTGTAATCCCACTTTGGGAAGCTGAGGCAGGAGGATCACAAGGTCAGGAGATCGAGACCATCTTGGCTAACACAGTGAAACCCCGTCTCTACTAAAAATACAAAAAATTAGCTGGGCGTGGTGGTGGGCACCTGTAGTCCCAGCTACTCGGGAGGCTTAGGCAGGAGAATGGCGTGAACCCGGGAGGTGGAGCTTATAGTGAGCCGAGATTGTTCCACTGCACTCCAGCCTGGGCAACAGAGTGAGACTCTGTCTCAAGAAGAAAAAAAAAAAAAATTCAAAACATATCAAGCTTACAACCTTCGTGATTTTCTAAATAAAGGCCAAATTTTTACTGTGGCCTATAAAGCCCTATAGGATGGGTGGTTAGACCTTGTTACCATTCTGAATTCATCTTATGCCTCTCTACGGCTCAGCCAATGATCATTCCAAACCAGTTTTCCAAACTGCAGGTTGCAAACCATTAACAATCATGAAATCAATTTAGTGAGTCCTAACCAGCAATTAAAAAAACATGAACTAGTATACAAAATACCAGAGTGATCCCACAGATCCTTAGCAACAAATTTACTCTCGCCAACTGTAATAAACCCTTGAGAAATATTATATGGAGAAATGTTATAATACTGATAGAACAGGTGATTCCACCTCTTCCTCATTAGCATTTTGTTTGATTTCATGGCAAAGACAGCATTAATGTTGTTCAGTTTAATTTTATATTAACCACATTTGAAGTTAGTTGTGAAGTGTGAGAGAATTTAATGTCAAAACATTTGTAAAGCTTTCCAAACCAAGTTTCTGTAACAAACTTGAGTGTGGCAATTACAACATTCTAACTGAAATATTACAAATGATGCTAAAAACAGAAAATTTTATTAAGAGGGAAAAGAATGATGATGTAAAAAAATACAAAGACATGATCAAGTTCAGTTGCTGGATCTGGAAATATAAATGACAATACTAATAAAAATGTTAACTTGACATCCAACTTCAAATTAGTTTGAATCGAATTCTAAAAAGGAAAAAAAAAACCATGCAGACTTTTTACAGTGAAAATGATTTAAAATGTAGCTTTATCAAATGCGCAAAACTCTGTATTACAGACCCCAAGGTATTTATAACCGTATTGTTGTAAATGAAACCTTCAAAATTAAAGATACTAAAAAACATGGTAGCTAAACTTTTATAACACTTTGAATATTTTTGAAAAAAGACAATTATTACCATAATTTCTTAGTTGCTTATGAATCCTAATGAGGACTATTAATAATAATGAATATCATTTAGCAAAAGAGCAAAGATTCACACTGCTGCTGGAAAAGATTATACTATAAAACAAAGTAATGCTGATTTTTTCATAGTAAATCAGTTGATAAAAATTATAAACAGCATATTTTTAACTCTATTAGAAGAATAGTCAAAGACAATGTTTATTTTGTAGTTAAGAGTCTGATAAATGACTTGAGATCACATTCACAATGCTGCTGTGAGTTGTTTAAAACTTTTAGTTTATATCAAGTTTATATCAGGTTGTTGCAACACAGTCTCAGAAAGGATTTATTGTGTTGCTTAAATTTAATCTCATATACATTTGAATTATACATATTTATAAAACTAGAAAAATATATTACTGGCCAATATGTTAATCTAGAAAAACATATTTTTAAAAATTAACAGAAGCTATTAATAACAGTGCCAGTCACCCCCACTTTATACATAACAAAGCTTTGGCATCCAAATAAATCTACTGAGTCTCATGACTATATTGATACAGTGCTAGAATTCTTTTAGTCCTTATCATTCATCTAGGCTCCTAAAAGTCATTACTTAATCACCTCTTAGTGATAACTTTTGAAATCCTCATTACTTATTCA